GGATGGATGGATGGATGGATGGATGGATGGATGGATAAATAAAAAAAGTTTAGTAGCAACGGTTTCAGCAACATCTGTAAAATTGGCTGGGAAGAGAGTTTTAGAAAAACTGTAATTTAAACTTTCCCATCCAATGTAGAAAGGATTTACTGGAAACACAATAATGATCACAACTATGGACAACTAGTTTATTTTCTGATAAGAATATAACTATTAACCACACAAAACTTTGCAATGGTAAAAAAAGATCATTCTAACATTTCTATATTCACATGGGCATAAAAGGGGTCACCATCGTGGTGCCCGCAGGTGCCAAGGGGCCCTCAGGGGCCTCACGGGGTGCCCACAACATCTTCTGAAATCAGCACAATTCACAGATTGAAATTTTTATTTTATTCTGTTGCCCTACTTTTTTAATCATTTATGGAGCATTTCTTCATTTTAATCATACAGAGTATTTAAGCATTTACGGAGATTTCAAAATGACAATATCACAAAGAAAAGAAGCTAAAAGAAAGAATAAAAATATGTTTAGTTTGTATGAAGTTAAGGTGAACGCTGATCCTTCCTTCCTTCCTCCCTCCATTCCTTCAAATCCTCCCTCCATCCTATCCCCCCTCCCTCATTCCCTCCTTTCCTTCATTCCTTTTATCCATCATTCCTTCCTTCCTCCATTTCTTCAAATCCTCCCTTCATCCTATCTCTCATCCATCCTTACTCATTCCCTCCGGTTCTTATTTCCTTCCCTCTTTCCGTCTATCTTTCCTTTCTTCCATCATTTCTTCAAATCCTCCCTCCACCATTTCCCTCCTTCTATCCTTCCTCATTGCCACCATCCCTTCCTTCTTCCATTCCTTCAAAATCCTCTTACCCTCCATTCTCCCTCCTCCTACCATTCCTCATTTCCTCACTTCTTTCAAATCCTTCCTTCCTTGCTTTCTTTCTTTTCGTTTTCTCTCCTTCCTTCCTTCCGTTTCGTTCTCTCTCTCCTTCCTTCCTTTCTTCCTTCCGTTTCGTTCTCTCTCTCCTTCCTTCCTTCCTTCCGTTTTTTCTTTTCATTCTCTCCCTCCTTCCATCCTTCCCTCCTTCCTCCCCCTCTCTCCTAATAAAAATATTTATTAGTACGAAGTTAAGGTAAACGCTAATCCCTTCAGTTCATAGGTAACTATTGGTAGCCATTCATATGACCCATGAAGTAGCCCTGGTGACCACTGTTGCCCTTGTGACCTCTGTTTTAAAAGAACAACTGAGATTCTTTCAACAACCGGAAAACGTTGCTTTTACTTTGAAAGAGCCACGGCCGCGTTACTTCCGTAATTGATAGGGTCATGCTAAGCGGTCTGACCATAGATATCCATAATAAATAAATGCATTATAATAATAAATTATGGATATCTATGGGTCTGACCATAGGACCGACCGCCCTCCTACCGCCTCCTACTGACTGAAGACTGCAGCTGCTGGTAGCTCAGCGTGGGTCCGTTTAGAGCTTCCTGATTGGTCGGGATCGACCAGCTGACTGTTGTGTCACGTGACTGAAAGGAAAAGGAAGCTTATCGGCTGTGAAGCTGATGTTTAGATGTTGTGAAGGTTCGGGTTCAGACTCCGTCCTCAAGCTGCGAGGAGATGTTTGACAGCAGGAGCTCCTTGGAGGTCCTGCTGGTTCCTGAGGACCAGGCAGGTGATCAGCTGGCAGACCTCAGGAAGGCCCAGATGTGTCCTGCAGGTTCCCTGCTCTGCTGCCTGGGGGGCTCCGGCCAATTGATGCTGTGGGCCCCTGGGGACAGGAGGGCCCCCCGGTGCTCAGCGGACGGCCACTTCTCAGAGTGAGTTCAGACACCTCCACTTCCGGTTACACCGTCACGTGCTCCCTGCTTGTTACGAGATTAACCAAAACAATGAAGAGAAGTCAGTCAGCAGGGAGTCTGAGGGTTTAACCAAAACAGTGCTGAATGAATGTAACATTTGCTCCTGTTTTTCTGCTTTGATTGATCATAAAGTGGTTTACCAGCATTGATTAAAGTGATGACTGAGCAGTTTGAAGGTTTACTTTTCTGTTAAACTTCCTCCTTTCTGTTTTATTCTTTTTAGTTCCTGTAATTTGTGATGGATTTATTTAACCATCCCGTCGATTCAAAGAGAGAAAGCATCTTTAATGTTGGAGACCTACACAGTCCTCTGCTGATGATTAATACAAACAACACTCAGATGGTTTCTGTTCTTTTAAAAAGTGCTGACACTTTACATAAATCCACATAAAACATTATTAATAACTGAACCTTGTAATCATAAGTTTAAGACAACAAGAAAAACCCCAAAATAAGGCAGCAGAAATCTTGGTGATGTCAGAATATTCAGGTCTAAATCAGACTTTGCAGCATTTCTTTTTCAGGGCCGCTCTTAATTTCAGCGTGCGAGGGCCACGGCCCCAACACTTACTCTCCGGCCGAAGCACTTACATATGACAGTAAAGAATTCAAGGAGCTCAAGAAGTAATACAATGTTAACTACCTAAATGATGCATGTAGTATATATAGGCCTTCCTTGTCATGCATATCCTTGTGACGGTTGGCATATGGTGTCATTTTCTATTTCTTCAAACTGTAAAATCCTTTCAACAAACTAAATTATACTAAAACTAAAATGCTTTCTTTAAACCTCTTATATTTGGCGAATTTATGTTAGAATATTTTGCAAAAATATGTTGCGGTGCACGATGTGGTTTTGCATCTAAAGGCTGACGTTTCCTGTCTTGCGTGCGTTGTTGCCAGGTTGGGGTGTTTCCCAAACTGGCAGTTTAGGATGGGTGTCTATGGGTAAAAATAGTTTTTCTTTAGATTTATGGCCTAAGAGATCAATAGACTTTGGTTCAAATTGGTCGAGATTTCGTACATCCAGGCGGTTTATGAACATTTTTTGGGCTGGAAAACATGAGTCAGTGACATCTGGCATCCATGCTGATGTGGTGAGTGTGGGACGTTACGCAGGCGCAGTCACTGTCGCGTCCGTGTTAATAACCACGCCAGTAAAAACGCATTATAGAAGTCTTGGTGATGGTTGTCTTGTGATGCTTGAAGATAGATCAGTTAATCCACAATGTTTATTCTTATTGTGTTCCACATTTGAGAGGGTTCCTAATCTAGAAATCGCCACATAGTAGCCTGATGAAGTTCTCCCTTGACCTTATGCTTTACTCATTTGTTTTTTACCTAAGACCATAACACCCCCCCNATAAGTACCTGGGAGTGTACTTTAACAATAAGTTGGACTGGACTAGAAACACCGAGGCGGTCTACAAAAAGGGCCAAAGCCGACTATTCTTCCTGAGGAGGCTAAAGTCCTTTAACATCTGTGGGGCGATGCTGAGGATGTTTTATGAGTCAGTTGTTGCTAGCACGCTCTTCTCCACATGCTGGGGCAGTGGGTTGAGGGTCGCTGAAAACAACAGACTTAACAAACTGATCAGGAGAGCCGGTGATGTTGTGGGGGAGCAGCTGGACACTCTGACCACCGTGGCAGAGAGGAGGATGCTGTCCAGGTTTCAGTCCATCTTTGACAATGACTCACATCCTCTCCACGACACACTAACTAGAGCGTGTAACAAAAGTAATTTCCCTCTGGGATTATTAAAGTATTTCTGATTCTGATTCTGATTGATGATGGTTGTCTTGTGATGCTTGAAGATAGATCAGTTAATCCACAATGTTTATTCAGATTGTGTTTCACATTTGAGACGTTTGATTGTGCTTCTATTTTATTTTTCATAAATGGGTTGGTTTAGATGCCATGGCCAAAAATCGTTCCCGGTCCGAGCCTGCTCACACACCTTATGGATAAGATATGTTCTACTGTTTTCCTGAACCTGCAACCCCGGAGGGTTCTTAATCTAGAAATGGCCACATAGTAGCCTGATGAAGTTCTCCCTTGACCTTATGCTTTACTCATTTGTTTTTTTACCTAAGACTTTTTTTTGTCTCTGTTCCCCCTCCCCCCTTTTTTCTGTCTCTGTTTTGTTTTGGTTTATTAGTTCATTAACATTAGCACAGCCTAAGCTCAGGGTGGAGGGGAGGGTGCTGCTGTTTGTTCATGTTTATTGATTATTTTGTTATTTTTATACTTTTTTAATATAACCTATCACTGCATGCATCTGATTTATACTTTAAGATATTGCAAGGTCTTTGTAAGGGCAGAAACTAAAATAAAGCCTGGGTGGAAAAAAAAAAGAAATCTCTGTGAGGATCATGTTCACCCTTGGGCCTTAGAAGTTCAGGGTCTCTAATCCATCAGTTGAAGAACGTGGCTCCAAGACGTTCAGCCAGGTTCTACGCTGCTCTAAGAAATGCCCCAGATTCTTACTCGTACCTCGGGTCCTGAAAAATATTACTGAAGAGAACAGAACCAGAAGATGGGATCAGTTACATTCAGAACGCTGGAGACTGGAGATGCACCGATCCAAGTTTTTCTGAACCGATCCCATACTGATATCTGGGCTGAGCGCACGCATCTGATTCATCCGATAAATAGATAAGCAATATATCTTGCCATGAAGGCTTTAGACTTAACATAAACATTGTTGAAAAGAGGTAACAAATGGATAAATGGACTTTATATTATTTATTGACTATGTAAAGATGCACCTGATTGGATCTCCGATAGGAATTCACAGCAATCCGATCCGGCTAATATCTGAGCAGATATCCGGTCCAGGTGTCAGAATGATGCGTCTCCAGTTGAGAGGCGTTTTTTTTTAAATCGTCTCCAGATGAATTTGTTCTCATATGGTGAACCTGAAACTGATCCTTTGTCGGCAGCTTCAGCTGGGAGGAGGTGACGGCCAGCAGTCGGAGCGTCAGCAGTTTCCACCTGCTGGCTGTTGGATCTCAAGGTGACCTGAAGCTGCTGGAGGCTGAAGCTGAACCCTCCGTCCCCGTTTCTTTGCTGAGCGTGCAGAAATGTTCTGCAGACCGTCTGCTGGAGGCGATCAGAGAGAAGAACCACAGTGAGTCCTCTACTGCACGTTGTCTCCTGATCGTTTGGTCTCAGACTGAGCGGCTGGGCTGTTGTCTCCAGGTGTGTGTGAGCTGGACTCTGTGCAGGTCCTGTGCTTTGTGGACGGCCGCTGTCGTCTGCTGGTGAGCTGGAGCTGGTTGCTGCAGCTGCAGTGGGAACGAGAATCAGGAGAAGCGAAGATGATCTCCTGCCATCACTTGCAGCCAATCAGCAGGACCCAGCATGCAGCTGTTCAGCTCTGTGGAGAAACCCTGTTCACCCTCAGCTCAGATGGACTCATACGTATCCTGCAAACACATTCTCACACTGAATACTAATTTAGCTGCTTTTAGCTTTAACTGGAGCTGCAGAGCCAAGGTGTCATCATCATCACCAAGCCTGTTTGTTAGCATATGTTGTATTTCTGGCGTTTTCCTGATCTTTCCTCCCCACCAGATGTGTTTGCTGTGACCGATGGCGCCCTGCTGGCCAGCATCAACCTCCCCGCCTACCTGGAGGATGACCTCAGCTCTTCCTCTCCCTCCTCCTCTTTCTGCCTGGTTCAGGTGTCAGCAGATCTCAGCACAGCTGTAGCTGTAACCCAGTCTCATGCAGCTGTAGCCGTTGACCTTAACCACTATTTCAGGTACATGAGTCAGTTTTTTTTTTGTTTAAGGTTTATCTTTGTGTTTAAGGAATCCTGATCTCTGAAACTCACATGATTTGACACAATAGAAATCGATCTGATTCAAATGAAATGATCTGGAAATAAAATCCGCTTTCTCGTCTGATCAATAAGCTCATAATTGCTGCGTTCACCCAGCATGACCCAAATCAGATCAGTTTGCTCATGTTCTGCTTCTATCTGACTTTTTCAAGGTCCAGTTCTGATTTCTGACCTTAAAGAGAAATCAGATCTGAGCCACTCCCATCAGAGGATCATTTCCCAGGCTCTTTGTAGATCTGTTTGTGTAGATCTATTTTAGTAAATCTGATTTAGTAAATCTGTTATTGTAGATCTGATTAAGTAGGTCTGTTTTAGAGTTAGACTTAGACTCAACTTTATTAATCCCTTGGGATTACTCCTTCAGGGAAATTATGTTTCCATTAGCTTGTATAGAGTACAAAGAGTTAAAGCAAGATGCCATTAAAAATAAAAATGCAACAGACAATATAAAAAGAATTTATATAGTACCAAAAAAGTATATTAAACAAAAGTTGTAATGTCCTGGAATATGCTTCCCTTAGATATAAAAACATCTGCACAGTAGAGAGCCAAGGGAAGACATCATAGTAGTTGATGGATTATTGCACTTGTACTGCAGAGATGTACTGACCTCATAAAACAACAAAAAACTTAAACAGGCTAAACAGTAGTTGGCATGTGTTATTGCACAGGGAGAGAGAAGAATATTGCACGAGTGACAATAGGTAATGTTTTGCATAAGATGTCCAAGGAGGGGGGTGCTGACCATTGTCCCTCTTCCTATCACCTCCTCCTTCCTCCAAGTGAGGAGTTGTACAGCTTGATGGCTCGGGGCGCAAAGGAGTTCAGCAGTCTGCTGGCCCTGCTTTTGGGGATATTTGTAGATTTGATTCAGCAGATCTGTTTTTGTAGATCTTGTTTTAGTAGATCTGTTTTGTTCTGTTTTAGTAGATTCTATTTAGTAGCTATTCATTATTTAGTATCTATTTTTGTTGATCTGTTTTGGTAGGTCTGTTTTTGTAGATTTAATGTAGTAGATTTGTTCCAGTAGATCTGTTTTGTTCTGTTTTAGTATATTTGATTTACTAGATTATATTTAATATATCTGTTTTTGTTGATCTTTTTTGTAGATCTGTTTTTGGTGATCTGTTTTAATAGATTTAATGTAGTAGATTTGCTTAAGTAGATCTGTTTTGTTCTGTTTTAGTAGATTCTATTTAGTATCTATTCATTAATTTTTTTAGTATCTGTTTTTGTTGATCTGTTTTTGTAGATTTAAAGTAGTAGATTTGTTGCTATAGATCTATTTTGTTCTGTTTTTGCATATTTGATTTACTAGATTTTCTTTAGTATATCTGTTTTTGTTGATCTGTTTTTGTTGATCTTTTTAGTAGATTTGTTCTAGTAGATCTATTTTGTTCTGTTGTAGCATATTTGATTTACTAGATAATATTCAATATATCTGTTTTTGTTGATATTTTTATTAGCTCTATTTTAGTAGATCTCTTTGAGTAGATATGTTTCAGTAGATCTGCATCCTGCTAACACAGTGAAACTGTCTTCCAGACTGCACCCAGACCACCTACTCTGTGTCGGACCCCAGTCCAATGTCCCTCTTCAGCATAAAGACCACAGAGACCAGGACAGCCTGTCCAGCTCCAGTCACTGTCTGGCTGCTCTTGGATCAGCGCTCTGTGATGACCGGTAGAAAAAACTCATCCTGCTTTTAACAGCAGAACAGTTAGATACAGAACACTTTGAAATGAAACCAGCTTTGGACTGTTTGGGGCAGCTGTTCCTACAGAACAACCTTCAACCTATAATAAATGATTCCCAGTTTAACTTAGTAAAGATAAATTGACACTTTGGCCAGACTATATCCCTGTATCAGTATTGGCTGATGCATACTCACCTTGCATTAGCATGTTTGGCATCTTGCATATGTGCTTAGAGATCACGCTAAGGATACAAGTATGTTCAATCCCTCCATCAATTGTTAATGTTTTATTAGATTTGGTAATAGATGTTAAATTGAGACCTGTGTATTTGTTATAATTATTTTAACCGCTCACAGCATGGCAGCCACACCAACAACCACCTTTGCTGATTTGGCGCCTGAATGTTAAACTACACTTAAGAGTATCTTAGATGTTAGGTGACATTTTTCCCATTTTTCTCTCTTTTAGCTCTTGGAAAACTCGTCTAGCGTTGATGTGCAGCAGAGCCCAGCAGGTTGCTTCTCCCTCCCCCCCGTCTAAGCCTGCAGAGAGGCCGTGGTTCTATTCGCTTCCCCACCTGCAGGCCAGCTCCGCTTCAGCCTCCTCCCAGAGCAGAGCGCCACCAGGGGGAGCGGTGGTGCATTTCTCTGTCCCTGAAACATCCACTCCATCTCTGCTTGCTGTTTCTGAGTTCTCTGCACTTTTGACGTTCGTCACTCCTGGTAACACTCAGACCACAGTGGCCTTATGGGATATGGAGTCTGGGAGTTTGAGCTACCACCAGTCAGAAGACGTGGCCGTTCCAGTTCAGCACAGTGGAGAGCGGCAGCAGAGGCTGCTGCTGAAGAGTAAGCTAAGCAGTGACATTGCATTTTGTGTTATTTTTAATGTCCGTATGGAAATTTAAGAGAAAAACAACTCATTTTAACAGCAGGATTATTGTTATATCAACCATGTCTAAGAAAAATAATCTACCTTAGGTTTTTAATGAAGACCAATCGATATTTATCAACTACGTTTTTGTTGTTTAAATGCAACACATTTTAACTTCAGGACAGTTTTTGCTGGCTTCAATTAAATATGAATTCAGCTCCAGCTTCCTTATGCACCTATAAACATCCAATATACTATAACTCCTGATCATTTATAATATGCATATAATTTCTTTAGCCTTTCCTCAGCATACATCCAGTCTGCATGTATGTTTATAGAAAGATGCTAGATGCAGAAAACAGACAGTTCTGGCCTCGGTGCTCTTATGTTCAACGACTGCGCTAATCAGCTATGTAATAAAGGAAGGTTATTAAGACTGATGGTGTGATTGGTGTCCTCCAGGGTCAGGTGTGTTCCAGGTCATGTTCTCCATGCCCCAGCAGGATCTATTAAGCAGGCTGATGCTATTTGGCAGTGCAGCAACGGTGGACGCAGTCTGTAAGCTCAACAGCTGGGGGCACTGCTCCATCCCCTTCCATGCCCTGCAGGTAGGCACATCAGTCCAGTATTTATTGATTGGCTCACATACTGATTGATTTTGTATGATTTAGTTTTTGTTTTCTTTCATACAGGCCGGATTGAAGAACCGACAGCTTGACACGGTGGATTTGTATCTGAAAAGCAAAGAAAATCTCCTGAACTCCTCTGCATCAGTCTGTGTTTCTGAGCAGTCGGCAGACTCCAAGCAAAGTCTCAAAGACAGTATGTATGCTTGGTTATAAATAGTTACTTCAGAACAGTGTGTATGAGGATAAAACAACATTCAGGGGTGATATTAAAGGAATAGTACACCCAAAACATGATTAGCCTTCATTTTCTACTCACCCCCATGCTGAACAACACTCTGGAGTACTTTTTTGATATC